GCCTTGGTTAGTAGTTTTGTCTCATTCAGGCACAGGTTACTTCTCAGCCAAAGGTACCGTTCTGTAGAGCTCCATAATTCATGCCCTTCTCTCTGAGCAACTTCCTCTTCTTCTGTGCTCCGGTCCACAAATTATAGCTGCCTTGACCTTCCTAAATTCTGCTATGTTTCTCCTCAACACAGCAAGATCACTGGGCTCTGTTTGGGTTCCCCCATTCTGTACTATGGCCTGGAAACTGCCTCTAGGCAATAAGCTGGAGAAGTCATAGGGCTTACCTCATTTGTTTGACTTCTGTTAAGAATCACAATCCTGCATTGCCTACCGTGTCTGAAACTGTTGTTTCATTTACTTTATTGCTTTTCTAGTTTTATAAGGTGGGAGAGTAATTCCAGCCCCCTTATATTCCATCATGAACAGAAGTGGGGGTCTGTAATTTGACTTTTAAGATCTTTTTTTTTTAGAGCAAAGACTTACTGAATAATTTCAAATCTGATGCCAAACATGAATACTATTATATTAAAAGAGTTGTGGACTAAGAATTAAAATCAAGGTCCTAATCCTTGCTCAGTCATTTAACTTTGTGCTTCTCACAATATGGACTTCTGTGACCCTCGACCTAGAAGACGTAGAACAATTCATTTGATTTCTCAATTTAATTTTCATCTGTAGAAGGAAGGTTATGAATCTTCTTTATAAACACTGAGGTGATATAAAGTGTGAACTCAAGAAAATGTGTGTTGATTGGCTTAGATTAATCTATTTTCAAACAGAAGCTAGCTTATTGTCACTTAACAGTCTTTATTATTTACATTTATTTTTAGGCACCATACTGGACATACCTTTTATGTGCACTCGGACTTTTTTTCTACCAGTCACTGGATGCTATTGATGGGAAACAAGCCAGAAGAACAAATTCTTGTTCTCCTTTAGGAGAACTTTTTGACCATGGTTGTGACTCTCTTTCCACAGGTAAAGTAACTATAATTGTGTTTTCTTCTGTTTTTGTTTTTTGTTTTATTATTTGTTTGTTTGTTTGTTTGTTTTTAAAAATGGCTTAAAAACTAAATGAACTGAGCTGTTTGGTCAATTTTTTTTTTTTTGGATAGGTGTACATTTGGGAGCAATTTTGCACAGTGTATTTTTAAAGTATCTCCAAGAATTTATTTTGTTCAGTGTACCTTAACACCAAGATTATGTACCTTAAAACTCTATTTTTGAATAGTACAGGGCAGTTTTTTTTCACTAATTGTTTCTAATTCTTAATGGTTTTTAAACCTTGTTTCTTTCAGTATTTATGGCAGTTGGAGCTTCAATTGCTGTTCGCTTAGGAACTCATCCTGACTGGTTGTTTTTCTGCTCTTTTATTGGGATGTTCATGTTTTATTGTGCTCATTGGCAGACTTATGTTTCGGGCGTGTTGAGGTTTGGAAAGTAAGTATGTATTTTAAGTTGTACATTTGAAAATACAACTGAATGTATTTTTACAATCTGTTATAGTTCATTTATCTATAATAAGGAGGACAAAGCTTCAGTCAGGAATTTAAATTATCTTTTAGCTTATTGGAGCATCTGTAAATCTTATACCTTAATTTAAGTCTTTTAGGTATTTTGCATGTTATAGTTACATATTTGATAATAATTTTATTTTCCCCTTCTCTAAGTTACTAGCCCAAACTTACATTAGACAGGAGAAAGAGAAAAGTAAGGGACTCGAATAATATAGAAAAAGGATATGCAGTAGTTAAGTAAACAGCATTTGACTTATAAGATAATAAGATATGGAATCTAAAGGTCCTTTTGTTCAAATCTTCTTGTGCCAAAAAGGAGGACCTGTTTACAACAGTCACCAACAACAGGTAATTGTGAGACTCTCAGCTGTAGTAGACAATTGGTGAGATAATATAAAAGCATCTTATAAATGTTAGAGCTAAACATTCAATGACATATATGCCTCTGATGCCTCTTTCTGAGACACCAAGAAATAGTGCACAAAGTAGGAACTCTGTTCTCTATTTCTGTTTCCCGTAGGTCCCTCTCTGCCTTTATTCTTTAAGAACCATCTGCCATTGGCTCATTCTCAGCTTTGGCTTCCCATGTCTAATGATTCTTTTCAGCCCACTTTATTGCTGCATAAGAGAAAGATTAACTCTGAAACAAAAAATTTCTGATAATGATAAAGGTGAGGAGAAACTCAAAACTATGGATCATTTAGCAGAGGGAAGGCCTTGGGCAGTATTCACACTGATTCTAAGTTAGGGAATATTTGCAGCTACCACTTATTGAGCACTGCATGTTTCTAAGTGCTTTACATGCATCATTTAAGGGTATTACCTCCATTGTATAAATGAGGCAGAAAGGTTCTATAACTTTCTTATACTGCCAATAAGTGTAGATCCAGGATTAAAACTCAAATCTGTTTGACTCCAAACTCCACACTCTTAATGACTGCTGCTTAGCACTATGGGATCAACATTGTATTAGATGCTGTGAAAAGATACAAAATGAATTTTTTTTAAAAACCTGTTTTAGGAACTATATAGTATACTATATTAAAAGGAGGAAATAATACTTCTATGACACTGCTAATACTGCCTGTAACCAAGTGTGAAATAACTTGCTTTAGGTTTCCACAAGCACTGAAGAAATTGTAGGTAAGAAGACAATTGTAGGCTGAATTAGTTTAGGAAAACTTTTATAGGAAATATGTGTCATTAGCTGATTCCTTACCTACTGGTCAAGAGCCCAAGGATCAAAAAGCCTGGCTAAAAATTCAACAACTGTGTAAAATTAAGAATCTGTACTGGCTTCCAGGCAACCCCTAGATGGCAGAGTAGATAAACATTGTGCTGGCCTCCCACGACCACATCACAATTACAACTAAACTATAGAACAACCATCACTGAGAGTCACCTGAAGTCTAGCTGAACAGAAGTCCTATAACTAAGGATATAAAAAAGAAGCCCAGGGTTCCAGTGCTGGGGAGAGAAGTCCCCATAACTTTTGGCTGTGAAAACCAGAAGAGATTGTGGCCGAGTAAGATGGAGGAATGCACATCCAAGCTGGTTCCAGTGGCTTTTCCATACAAATGATCAGCGTAGGCTCATGCTGCAGACTTTCCTAAAACCTCAGAGATTCAAAAACCCCAAAAGAGCAGCATCTGGCTTCGGCATGCCTCATACATCTTGCTAAGCAACCCCAAGCCCAGCACTAGTGGGAACCAACCTCAGATCTCAGCTTAGCTTCTCCCAGGCATCTCCAAACCCAGCACAGTGGCAGCCATCTGTAGATCACTTTGTAAGTTATACGAAGTGGCCTTGTGCAGGGCACAGACAGAGGCTGACCTTAGTCTGCACTAGACCCCCTTTCAAAAGGCCCCAGAACCAACACGCCCAGTGGTTAGCTTCAGACCACACCAGAACACTACCCAACCACCTCCACAGAAGACACACCCAAAGGTCAGACTCAGTAAGCACCAGAGCCCTGCTAAAGTGAATCCTGCTCCATAGGGTCAGCCCTGCACAATAACTCCTCCACTGTAGTCACAGCCAGTCCTCACAACCAATCATCCTGAGGGTCAGTTCCTCTTATTGATGTGCCAACAGCAATCAAGGCTCAACTACAGTAGGATGGCACACACAACCCACACAAGGGATATATCTGTAGCACCAGCTCAGGTGACTAGGGAGACTGCTCCACTGGGCCCCAAAGGACACCTACTACATAAGGCCATTCTGCCAAGACTGGGAGACATAGCAGCTCTACCTAATACATAGAAACAAACACAAGGAGGCAGCCAAAATGTGGAGACAAAGAAGCATGTCCCAAATGAAAGAACAGAACAAAACTCCAGAAAAACAACTAAACAAAATGGAGACAAGCAATCTACCAAATGCAGAGTTCAAAACACTGGTTATAAGGATGCTCAACGACCTCAGTGAGAACTTCAACAAAGAGAAAGGAAACATAAAAATCAAGATAGAAAACATAAAAAGGAACTAGTCAGAAATGAATACAATAACTGAGGAATCAACAGTAGATTAGATGAAGCAGAGAACAGTGATTTGGAAGATAAAGTAGCAGAAAACACCCAATCAGAACAGCAAAAAGAAAAAAGGATCCAAAAGCATGAGGATAAGTTTAAGGGAGTCTCTGGGACAAAATCAAGCATACCAACATTCAAATCATAGGGTTACCAGAAAAAGAAGAGCAAGAGCAAGGAACTGAAAATATATTTAAAGAAATAATGACAGAAAACTTCCCTAACCTGACAAGGGAAATAGACATACAAACCCAGGAAGCATAGATAGTTCCAAACAATATGAACCCAAACTGGTCCACACCAAGACATCATAATTAAAATGACAAAGGTTAAAGACAAAGAGAGAGTCTTAAAAGCTGCAAGAGAAAAGCAGTTACCTACAAGCAGGCTTCCATAAGACTGTCAGCTGATTTCTCAACTAAAACTTTGCAGGCCAGAAGAGACTGGCATGAAATATTCAAAGTGATGAAAAACAAGAACCCACAATCAAGGTTACTCTAGATAGCAAAGCTATCTAGAATCAAGAGACAGATAAAGAGCTTCCCAGACAAGAAAAAGCTAAAGGGGTTCATCACCAGCAAACCAGCCATACAAGAAATGTTCAAGGGAGTTCTTTAAGAAGAGGGGAAAAAAGACCAAAAATATGAATAAAATGGCAATAACTATGTATTTATGAACAATTACTTTAAATGTAAATGGATTAAATGCTCCAAACAAAAGAGGGTGGCTGAATAGATAAGAAGCCCCTTACATATGCTGCCTATAGGGGACTCACTCCAGATCAAAAAACACACACAGAGACTGAAAGTAAAAGGATGGAAAAAGATATTTCATGAAAATGGAAACAGGAAAAAAAAAAAAAAGCTGGGTTAGCAATACTTATACCAGAGAAAATAGGCTTTAAAACGAAGGCAAGGACCCAGTAATTTCACTTCTGGGTATTTATCTTAAGAAACAAAAAATACTAATTTGAAAAGACATATGATTTCATATGTTCAATGCAGCATTATTTACAATAGCCAAGATATGGAAGCAACCTAAGTGTCCATCAATAGATGAATGGATGAAGAAGTAGGACATAAATAGAATGGAATATTACTTGCCATTTACAACAACATGGATGGTCCTACAGGGTATTATGCTGAGTGAAATAAGTCAGACAGAGGAAGACAAATACCATGTGATTTCACTTACATGTGGAAGTTTAAAAACAAAATAAACAAAACAGAAACAAACTCATAGAACAGAGAACATTTTGATAGTTACCAGATGGGAGAGACATTGAGAGGATAAGTGAAAAAGGAGAAGGAATTAAGAAATACAAATTGGTAGTTACAAAATAGTCATGGGAATGTAAAGTATAGCATAGGGAATATAGTTATTCCTGTTGTAATAACTATGTATGGTGTCAGATGGGTACTGGATTTATTGGAGTGATCACTTCCTAAGTTATATAAATGTCTAATCACTGTTTTATACACCTGAAACTAGTATAATATGTCAATTGTAATTGAAAAATAAAAATTATTTTTAAAAATCTGTACCTATTTATAGATTGATATGCTAAAATAGAAAAATAAAAAAATTAAAAAAAATAAAGTCTATTTTATCTGATAGAAAAGTAGCTTTGCAAAGTCTAATGCATTTTACTTTGCTCTATTTGCTATAGTAAACTGGAGTAATGTAATAATGTAATGTTCTGTTTAATTGTTGTTATTATTTAACAACTAACATTTTACCTTTTTGGCTTCTAATATCATTAAAAATTTTTCTGAAATGAATTAGTTCACATTCCTAGCCTAGCGGTAAATTTTACACTCATATGCTATTAATTAAGAGCCTAATGTGTGCCTAGAACTGGAGATACAAATCTGAGTCACTTGTGGATGGAATATGCCAGGATGATTGGGGTAAAAAGCATTCTAGGCAGAAGCATGAGGAAAGAAAGTACTCAGAACATTAAGGAAATGGATATTGTAATTCAGCATCAAGTTATATAGGGAGTAGAGGAGATCCAGCAGTACTCCCAGGGGGCAGCCATTTAAAATACTAATTCTGTATGGCAGAGATCCTAAGCAGTATATTTTTTCACTTTGCCAAAGTAAGAATATCACAGAGCATTGAGTAGAATAGATTGATAATCCAGTTTAACATTACTAGGAAGATCTATATACAGGACATCAAGCCTCTAAAGATGCTTACAATCTAGGGTCAGTATCAATTATCTATTGGTGAGGATGGATTTCCTAAAAATATGTCAATTTTTGATATGTTTGATTTTTATAGTGTTTATATTACTGGAGTATAGATATATGAAACCAGGCCAAAGACTCTCAGGATATACTGTGAAAATTTGTTTCATGAATATATTCTTGATTTAAGCCTGTTTAATATGGTTTCTTTCTTTCTGAAAGACAAAAAAATAATATCAAGTGAGTTTAATTGGGCTAAAAAAACATAAAATTTTACTAATATTACTACATTTTGCCACTTAATTTTTTCCAATTTTCAGTGCCTTTTAAATTACTTAGTAGTCGATATTGATTCTGCTTTAGTATACTAAAAGCAGACGCTTTAAAATCAGACTGGGTACAAATTCTGGCTCTAACATACCACTTGTTTGACCAGAAATAAGTTATGTAACTTCATTTTCTTCAGTTTCTTCATCTGTAAAATGGAATTAATCATAATTGTATTAAAAGAGTCATTGTGAATATTAAATAATAATGCATGTAAAGGACTCTATACAGAATCTGGAGGACAGAAGTACTTAGTAATAAAGTTAGCATTATCATGCCAAGCTCTTTTATTTTAATTCTATTTCTTTTGTATATTTACTTTTTCATGAGTGACATTAAAAAGTAACTTACTAAAAGAAAATCAGATGTCTCGTGTATTAAATTAGTAAGTTATTGATAAGGAACTTATTTCATAAGGAAATAAGCATACAGAAGAAATTTAGTTAAAATAAATTTGAGGATGGAAGGTCAACATATTATTGAGTGACTATTGAATAATGATGTAATATTTATACAGTGAAGTTGAATATTTTTGCAATAATTATATAAATAAATATTGAGCTTCTAGTGTATGCTAGTCCCTGTACTAGGCTCTAAGGTAATAAGGAAACAAGACGGACAAAAATCCCTATCCCCCTGAAGTTTACATTCTAATATGGGAGACAGACAGTAAAGCGAACTGAACAAGTGACTACTACATATAATACATTAGATAGTGGTACAGTTCTTGTCAAGACCTGTAAAGATTCTGAAATTTTACACTTCTTACAAGCTACCAAGTAAGTCTGTTAATGTTTCATAAAGACAAAACTCCTGGGTCAGAGACAGTACAGCTTTATTACTGATGGCAAAAGCAGTAGACAAAGGTTCATGTTGCCTCACCCCCCACCCCCCGCCACTTCTAAGTCTCATCGAGGCCATGCAGGTGGGACTAGATGAATGCCTGCAAATGCAGTTGGTTTCATTATGGCAGAGGGATGCTGGGGAATCTTTTATAGTAAGCAGAAGCAAGCCTGCTCTTCAAGGGGAGAAGTATCCTCAACCTTCAAAGTTGCTCACTGCATATGCAGCCCTGAGAAATGGCCAGGTAAAAAGTGTTCAGCAAGAATGCACAGGGATGCTCAGGGTCCATGGAAAATTGCCTCTCTTAATTCTAAGAAGAAAAATTAAGCAGGGAAGGAAGAGAGTGACTATTTAAAAACTATACTATGTTTCTTATGAATATGCAAATACTGTTCCATACTGTTTCAAAGAACAGAAATAGAAATACCATGCTATTTTACTTGTGGATATTTTAATTGTTATATGTTTTATCTCTTGAAAATAAGTAGATTTCAGTGCAAATATAAATGTTAAACCTTGAATTAGATATTTTAAACCACAAAACATTATTTTTAACTAAAATTTTCAACTGTTAAAGATTTTTTTTAGTTCATTAGTGATACATTTGTTTGTAGTTTCTTAGCACAGTCAGTGGAATAATTTATAGGACTACAGTTAAAATCTGTCTGTATATTAATGCCTGCCACGTGAGATAAGGCATATCTTATTTATAGCTAGTTTGTTCCAGTGTAGCAAGGGTCTTATGAAATTCAGTAGAGCAAACAATGCTTAAAGCTTAATTTAAAAATCTAAACCAAGTCCAGTGTTAACTCATAATATGTGATATTTTGTTATTTACATGTGAATATTTAGACTCAATGTTAATTTTCTTTCAAAAGCATGAGAACTTCTCTGTGTTATGAAGTGTATTTCTCAAAAAATTTATGGTAAAGGACTAGTTTCTTCTCTCCACCCATTATGGACTAATAACATGCAATTAAAAAAAAAACAGACTTACAGAATAGTCCCCAATATTTCATTTGGTTCTACAGATACAAAATGACTGTCAAATTAGCATATAAGTTTCTAAATGCTTGCTCTCAATTTCTATACTTATCTCATCATAGACTAGTAACAAACCCTAGACCACTCTTTGAATAGCACTATTATATATTGTACGCTATGACAACAGTTTAGGAGGTAAGATATACCTGCACCCTATCCCCAATACTCATCTTTTTTGGACACAGTTTTTGCACTTGATCTTAGCCAAAAGGCCGAGAAGCCATGGACACAGTTTTTAAAAACTCAGACCCATTAATGAGTTCTCTAAGTTTGTACATTGTTATACAGAATATTCTTTGTCTAATATAGCTCTCAAGCTTCAACTGTCTCTTCATATTTAAAATATTTGAGGATTTGGTGAAGGATTCCACTCTTTTTATCATATCAAAAGTTGTAATTTAAAATCTGTGGCATTAATGATGTATATGTGAAACCAAGGTTCCTTGCTCAATCCTTGTATGTGTCATTTAGTTCTACTTAGTTCTATTTGGTTCTCTTACCCCTATCAGCTTTCCTAGTTGCTCTGGTCACTAGTCATACTCTTGGAAAATTATGAATAACAGTGTAATTCTACATAGCATTGTTAGTGGAAAAAGTGCAAAACTCTGATATAGTAGGAAACGTGTTGGTTCTGAAGTCATTTTCCTATAGCAATATCCAGCTGATCTAATACAGGCATGGAAAAATCATTTTAGTTTTCCTTTTCAAGAAACAAGAATAATATAGCTCATAAGACTCATGATAGATGCTTAATAAATGTTAGTACCTTTTCCCCTTTTTCTCAAGTACCATACATTGTTTTCCTTTTCCAACTAACGTGACTATTTCTCCATGCAGCCTGGAGGCCTTGGTTTGCCTGCCATTGATCTTATATACTGGATATCATTATTCATAGTTTCCTTTTATTTGTGGGTTAATGTTCAGTTCACCTTTTTCCTCCTAACTGCCTCCAAAATAACTCAGTTGAGAAGTGGTTTCCATATCTGGTTTTATTTTGTCATCTAATCCCTACATTTCTTATATTTGCAAAGCAATAAGTATTCCTGTAGCATCTAAGGACTCCAGGGGCATCCAAGTGGAGATGTAAAGTAGGTAGACAGATATAAAAATATGGAGCTCAGAAGAAGATATGGATTTAGAGATACGGATTTAGAGGTCATTAGCACATAGATAGTAGTCTTAAGTACAGATAAAATTGTTCAGAGAATCTAAAAGAAGAAAAGATGGAATTCTGGAAGTAGTAGCATTTAAGATATGGTGGAAGAAGCAGTCTGAGAAGGAGCCTGAGAAAAGCTTCCAGCAGGGTAGAAGAATTAGGAGAGAGAATGGAATTTAAAAAAACATCGCAAAGCATTTCAAGAAAGAGGGAGTGATCAGCATTTTAAATATTGTAGAGAAGTTATGCAAGATAACTGAAACGTATTCCTTAGATTCAACAAATTGAAAGATACTACCTTAAACAGTTTTAGTAGAATAGGGCCAAAAACTAGACTAGAATAGATTAAGCAGCAAATATAAAGAGGAGAAAAATATAAATGTAGACTACTTTTTAGTTAGCTCGTTTATGGAACAAAGGAGAGAGGAGTTGACAGCTTCAGGAGATGCAGAATAGAGACTGATGTTGGCTAATTTAGTGGTTCTTTGAAGGAAATTTAAGCATGTTTATATGTTAGGAGGAAAACGTCTGTAAAAACAAAAAAGTGTTGGTAACTTTAATAAAGAAAACTGTTAGAATTTTCCTCGCTTTTTAAGTTAAATTGACTTGAGAGTATTTAAGAATTTGTCTTAAATTATCTGGTTGTTTTAATGTTATTTTTCCTTATTATGAAAGTAATACATAATTGTTATTAAAAAATTCAAACTTTACAGAAGTACATAAAGTAGAAAGTAAAAAGCCTTTTGTGATCTCAGTGGTAACGGCTACTAGCAATTCTAAATATGCTATAAAAGTTTTTTTCCCTATGTATATATTAATGTTTACATATTTGTGAGCACATGTTGTTCTATAGGTTTTTTCACTTAACAATGTAGTCAATTGATAATTCAATGATGGAACAAAAGGTAAAAATAATCTAAGCCTATACAGATTTTTACATCTTTGATATTTAATAAATGGTTAACCTTCATATTCAGAAATTTTATTTACAAACATCTTTTCTGTTCTTTGTCCTTCCTCTTTAGAGTGGATGTAACTGAAATTCAGGTAGCTTTAATGATCGTCTTTGTGTTGTCTACATTTGGAGGAGCAACAATGTGGGACTATACGGTAAAACTGAATATTTGAATTTACATTTAAGTACTTTTTAAATATTTAGTCAAAACATTGCATTATTAATTTTCTTCAGAAACCCTTGGCATTGTATTTAATATTCATTCCTTTTCTTAACCTTTTCCCTTCATTTTGTAATTTTATTATCCTGCGTACCTTATTATGGCATTTTCCCCTATGCATGAATATATTACTGCATAGAAGAAAATGACCCCATTTCCTTAATAGAAAATTAAATACACTAGTTGAACTACCTTTTCTAGGCCAAAATGTATCTCATAAATTAGATATTTAGGAAAGCAAATTCAATAAAATATTTTACATTTGAAACTTGTCCCTCATTATTAGGAAAGAAATGTTGCTAATTTGCATTTTTTATAATCAATGAGGTGAAGTTTCCTATATTAATGAGTGTTTTTATTTTCTGTGTGGTTGGTGACCCTCAGTATTTTGATAAAAGTTGACTCTCAGGAAGCCACTGTCATAAATTCATGCTTTGCAAAGGAAGAAACTATAAAGAAACAAATTATTCTGTCTCTACAACCAAAGTCCACAACACTGGCTGGCTCACAACCTCATGCCCATAGAGTTAAGAAGAATAAGGATAATATCGATAGCCAACAACTAACATTTATTCAACATTTATTATGTTCCTAAACATCTTACTATCACTGTTACATCTGATCCTCAGAACAATCCTATAAAATAGGTACTATCATTATTTTATAAACAAGTTTTAGAATAATTAATTTATTCAAGAACCCATAGTAAGTACTGGAGCTAGGAATTAAGTAGATTCCAGACTCGTATGTTTTTAATCACTAAGCTATGTTATACCTCCAGTGAAAATAGTAAGAAATAAAAAACTAAACATTCTCTTACTGTAAGATCCCTTGGTATTTACCCAAATAAGTTGAAAATTATATCCACACAAAAACCTGAATATGGATGTTTATAGCAGCTTTTTTCATAATTGCAAAAACTTGGAAGCAACCAAGATGTCCCTCAGTAGGTGAATGGATAAACTATGGTACATAGAGGCAATGGAATATTAATTAATGTTAAAAAGAAAGAACCGTCAAGCCATGAAAAGACATGGAGGAACCTTAAATGTGTATTACTTAATGGAAGAAGCCAACCTGTAAAGGCCATGTATTATATGATTCCAACTCATATTGTATGACATTCTGGAAAAGGCAAAATGATGGAGATAGTGAAAAGTCACTGGTTGCTAGAGGTTTGGGGGAAGGGAGGATAAACAGATAAAGCAAGAAAGATGTTTAGGGCAGTGAAACTATGTTGTATGATACTGTAATGGTAGATACCTGTCATTATGCATTTATCTAAACGCATAGAATGTACAACACCGAGACTGATCCCTAATGTAAACTCTAGACTTTGGGTGATAAGATGTGTAAATGTAGGCTCATGGATTGTAAAAATGTACCACTCTGGTAGGGGATGTTGATAGTGGGGGAGGAGTGGGATGCGGGGGCATATGGGGACTCAGTGTACTTTCTGTACAATTATGCTGTGAACCTAAAATTGCTCTAAAAAGTCTATTAAAAATAGTAATATTTCTGTGGCATTTATAGTTTCAGAATTGCCAATTACAGTTCATATCACTAGGCTCAGAAATAGACTTTGAACAATTTTTAAGTCATGGTACATTCCCTGAGACATTCATATTCCTTCTCACCATATAAGAATAATAGAATCAAGTACATGCTTCTAGAATATAATAGAGGGATGCAATGTCTTTTATGGTAGCTGCTCTGCTAGTACCCATAAGAAGGTGAATGTGGACCTAGAGGCAATAAGGCAACTCTAGTCATTAAGTCAAATGGGGTTGTCTTAAATTTGGAATTCTGATTTAGCTTTAATGGGAAAAAATTTAACTTAATCTTAAAATCATTCCATTCAATGTTTTGGCAATACTATAGGAAGAAAGCAAATCTGCTTATTCTTACCAACAAGAATACTTATTTTAGATGTAGATTTTCTAAATTTAATTTTTAATCTGTAGTTTCCACAGATTTGGGTACAATATTTCAAAGTCTTCAAAGCACAATAGCCTGCAGCTTTTGGCAATTCACTGTTACTGTTTTTTTTTTTTTAAATCTTTTGCTGCCTTTGGAAGTTTCTTTGAACAGCAATTGACTAACAGGTAAATATACTGCTAGAGATTTAATCCTGGATATTAACTACACAAAATGTTTGCATGCACACACATCATGATTTTTTGTCACATTCATGATACAGATCATGGTGTCTGCCTTTCCTTTGATGCTGCCTTTTAGAAGTACTAAATCTAAGTGAACTATCCTTTTTACATTCCTTTGTCAGATGAAGGCTTGTGAGATTAAATATCTCATCACAATTATTTAAGTAGACTTAGCTGAATTGGGTGGATTCATTTTCACTTAATGAGTAAACCATCCAAAGAAAAGTTACCACTTCAGGCTACATTCCAGAAGTTAAGTTTTGATTATAAGAAAAAGGATAGCTTATGGTACAGGGCCATATCATAATGTTTTACTGTTCAATAGGAAAAGAAATTCTGTGCTGTTAATGATTTGTTTGTTTCCTCTACCCTTAAAGATACCTATTCTAGAAATAAAATTGAAGATCTTCCCAGTTCTTGGAGTTGTAGGTGGAGCAATATTTTCCTGTTCAAATTATTTCCATGTTATCCTCCATGGTGGAGTTGGCAAGAATGGATCCACTATAGCAGTAAGACATTAATTTCATCATTTAGTATTAATTTTATGCTAAAATTTCTTATCACCATCTGCAGAGATAACTAAAAATATGCCGAAGTTCAAGAACGGGGAAGGGAACTAAAGGATTTTTTTAGGCACATAATATAAAAGCTTTTTAAAAACAGTTCAGACTAATAATAAAGCATTTTTCTTTTTTCTATGACCTTTCTGAGTAGACTTTTCTGACATTCTGTTTACTCATTCACTATTTCAGTACTGTACATAATCAAGAGTTCTCATTTGTTTTCTTGCATTTTGTGCCTTGCGCTAATAAGGAGAGGAGAATAGTTAGGGAATGAGTGTCTGATTGAATGGCCAGAAAGCTGCCAAGGGTCAGTTTCACATATGGGGTAATTTGTTACTAATGAAGTAAATTTTATTGAAATTTCATTAAAATATATTTTTAAAAACTATTCTAATATTTTAAAAGGTAAAATTTTTAACCTTAATTCTTAAATTGAGTGAATAGACCTTGTGTTTTGTATTCTTCACACTTTGCTCATGCTATAATACTTTGTATTTATTTATTTGTTTTAAAATTTCTTTAATAATTTATGTAGGAATCAGAATTCCTGCCAAGTTTTTAAACAAATATAATGTTTTTTTATAAAAGCATATTATCATCTTCAAGCTAGTTGAATATAAGTACTTATTCCAGTGATGCCATCTTCTATCAAAACATTGTTAGAATGGCTTTTTAGAATTGCTTTAAGCTATAGCTCATTCTCTTTCTCATCGCTTCTTGACCTTCTCAGCCTAAGTTCTTTAATTTCTTTGGTGCTATAGTTCAAAATCCAGTTTAAGGATGGATTTGATTTTTTAAAAAGTCAAAGTCATTTGAAGCTAGATCTTAGAAATAAGAGGAATAATAAACATGAAATACAGCATGTTTGGTTAAAAAATTCTCATCTTAAAGACTTATAAATTGGTTCTCAAGACAATTCAAAGGAATCTATGTAATTCATAAATTATCAATCTTTATGAATACATTTTATATACATAATTCAAAAGCAAAATATAAAACTCATTTAGATATGTAAGTTCTGATATATTTGGAAAAATTCACTTGTTTTTTGAGGTATTTTATCTGTTGACCTCAATATAGTACTATGCATAAGGTACTTAGGAATTCTTGTTGCTTGACCATGAATGATAAATAGAGCACTAGCTGGAACATGAGTTCCACAAAAGAAAACATGATTCAGTAAGGATCGGTGTCCACTTTAGAGAATATTTTACTAGGAAAAAATTGATTAACTGTTTGAAGGAAGATAAATTGATACTATCATGAAGAAGTGATAATTTCAGACTTAAACTGGTATTTTTCCACCTTTTTTAGGAGGTTTTCTTGAATAAAATCTACAGAACTATAATACAGATAAAAGCACTATTTTATTAGTCTAATTTTTATAAATTATTACTATATAGTATAGTATTTTATATGATTTTATAGAATTACTATAATTTTATAGTAAGTTATAATTTAAAACATGTAAACTTAAACAAGAATGTTTTAATCAACACATTTAAATTGATAGTTATAGGTTTAGTAAGTATTAAAACCAAATTTTTCAATATTTTGTTTAAGACAAGCAGTGCTGAGAGAATCCTTATTCACAGATAAAAATGTAATGGGTTGGACTGTACAATGTTATATAAAAGTGCATTTGCAGTCTAAATGCAATAAATAAATAAAAATGGACGGATGGATAGATGGATGGATGGATGGATGGATGGATGGATGAGATAGATAGATGGATGAGATAGATGGATGAGATAGACAGATGGATGAGATAGACGGATGACAGAGACGGATGGATAGGATAGATAGATGGATGAGATAGATAGTTTAGATAGATTATAGATAGATTAGATAGATAGATTAGATGGATAGATTAGATAGATTAGATAGATAGATTGGATAGATAGATTGGGTAGATTAAATAGATAGATTAGATAGATTAGATACATTAGATTAGATGGATAGATTAGATAGATTAGATAGATGGGTTGGATCGATTAGATAGATAGATTAGATAGGTAGATTGGATAGATTAGATAGATTAGATAGATTAGATAGATAGGTTGGATAGATTAGATAGA